TAACCTAAATGGAGAACTGAGACAGAGTAGGATGGTGAGTTTGATGCTGATACTGCTAATGAAACAGAGACACCGCCAATTTCATCACCTCCTATTCAGCCTAGGAAGTCCACCAGAGACAAGAGACCTTCCACCAGGTATAGTGCTCATGAGTATTTGTTGCTTACTGATGGGGGAGAGCGAGAGTCGTATGAAGAGGTTCTTAGTCATGAGCAGAAAGATCAGTGGTTAGCAGCCATGCAAGATGAGATCAAATCCTTGCATGAGAATAACACGTATGACCTGGTGAATCTGCCTAAGGGCAAAAGAGCACTCAAGAATAAATGGGTGTTTAGACTAAAAACAAGTGAGAACAGCTCACAACCGAGGTACAAAGCCAAATTGGTTGTGAATGGATTCAATTAGAGAAAGGGCGTAGACTTTGATGAGATATTCTCTCCTGTTGTAAAGATGTCTTCGATCCGAGTTGTGCTTGGGATAGCAGCCAGCTTGAATCTTGAGATTGAACAGCTTGATGTGAAGACAGCTTCTTACATGGTGATTTGGAAGAAGAGATTTACATGGAGCAACCAGATGGGTTTCAGGAGAAGGGGAAAGAGAAGCTTGTATGTCGTCTCAACAAAAGCTTGTATGGGTTGAAGCAAGCTCTGAGACAATGGTACAAGAAGTTTGATGCCTTTATGATAGGGCAGGATACCAAAAGACTACAGCTGATCACTGTGTGTTTGTGAAAAAAATTTTCTGATGGTGATTTTATAATTCTTTTGCTTTATGTCGATGACATGTTGATTGTTGATCATGATACTGCAAAGATTGCCAAGTTGAAAAAGGAGTTGAATAAATCCTTTGCGATGAACGATTTGGGTTCGGCTAGACAGATCCTTGGGATGAAGATTTCTCGTGACTGACAGAATGAGAAGCTTTGGGTATCTCAAGAGAAGTATATCGAGAAGGTTCTTGATAGGTTTAACATGAGTAGTGCTAAGGAAGTCTCGACTCCACTTGCAGGGTATTTTAAGCTAAGCAAAATGTAGTGTCCTAAAAGTGAGAAAGATAAGGAAGAGATGAAAAAGGTTCCTTATGCTTTGGCAGTTGGCAGTTTGATGTATGCGATGGTTTGCACAAGGCCAGACATAGCTCATGCAGTTGGTGTTGTTAGTCGATTTCTCTCCAATCCTAGTAAGGAGCATTGAAATACTGTGAAGTAGATTCTCAGGTATCTTAGGGGTACTTCCAGATTAAGTCTTTGATTTGGCAATGGGGAGACCATGTTAGATGGATATACAGATGCTGACATGATGGGTGACCTGGATGGTCGGAAGTCTACTTCTGGTTACTTGATGACTTATGGAGGGGGAGCATTTTCATGGTAAAGTAGGTTGCAGAAATGTGTTACTTTGTCTACTACAGAGGCAGAGTTTATCGCAGCTACTGAATCTTGTAAGGAAGCACTTTGGTTGCAGAAGTTTTTACAAGAGCTTGGCATGAAGCAAAAGAGGTATGTGGTGTATTGTGATAGCCAGAGCGTTATTTACTTAGCGAAAAATTCCATATTTCATTCGCGGTCAAAACATATTGATGTGAGATATCATTGAATTCGAGATGTGTTGGAGTCCAAAGCGTTGTTTCTTGAGAAGATCCATACGGATGACAACTGTGCCGATTTGTTGATGAAGACTGTGAGTAGAGACAAACTTCTGTTCTGTAGATAGGAAGTGGGTTTGGTTTTACCCCTCAATTGAGGTGAAGGGGGAGATTGTTGGTCCCATTTCTCCACAATTGGGCCAACAGTGATTGAAACCAAATCAATTTGGTTTTTTGGTTTTCTTGACCGACCGGGGAGAACAAAACCCTTTGAGTTTTGGTTTTGATTTTTATTGCATATAAAAGCAGGTTGCCATACCAATTTGGACGTTTATTTTTCAGCTAAGAGAGAAGGAAAATTAGGGCAGCCGCGTAAGGGTTTTGTGCAAGAGAAAAAGAAAGAAAGTTAGGGTTTAGTTTTCGGTTTAACTCTCTTTTGGTTAGATCCTTCCAGTCCTACTCTGTGATAGGTGTTTCGGAAGAGTATTGTTGTAATCCACCTTTGGGTGAAGTCCTGTGTATCCACCGGTTGGTGAAGACTGTTTTCCCATTATTGTGATAGTGGAGATTTGACTGTTGTTACAGTCCCGTGTTTTTTTCGATTTGGGTTTTCACGTAAATTTGTGTGTCTACTTTACTTTATCAGCTCTTGAATTAGTTCCTTGTTTGGTTGGTTGTTCTATTTTATTGGTAGTTGGAAAAGAGTTTTTCTTGGGAATCGTTTCCGCTGGTTTGTTGTGTTTATACCCTTTCCGCCACAACAGTATTTTGTAACATAATGATGGAGGACACCAGTAGTGATCTTAACCTTTTATTTTATTAATTTTTTGGTTTATAGAAAATATCAAGTTTGGTAGAAAAGAAAATATTACTCTTTATATCTTAAAATGATTATATAATAATCCTACCATGGAAACTACCGAGATTCTCACCGATACACCCCGCATCCAACCATGGATGATAGGCCGTCACTATCCCCATATCCAGCTCTGAAAAGATTATTTTGTTAGCAGAATAGATCAGATTACATCGACTGTGGTGTGGATCTGTTCGCCTGAAATGCCCCTTAAGTATTACCACAAGAAAGCCTTGAGAGATATTGGTAAATTATTTGGAAGGTGGTTTATATTGATAATCAAACAGAGGCCAAAACCAGAGGTAAGTTTACACGTATTGCAGTGGAGATTGATTAATCAAAACCTCTTGTTGGTCAATTTTTGTTGGACAAAAAGTTATAGAAGGTTGAATATGAAAACCTTCCCAAAATATGCTTTCATTGTGGTTTGTTCCGACATTTTTTTTTCAACTGGAATGTCCAGAAAACCCGCCGATGGTGCAACAGAATGACCAGATTTTAACAGTAACACAAGTGCCACCGGAGAAGGAAGAACTAGAACAACCATCTAGTGTTGGGAATTGGATGCAAGTGGTTAAGGGAGGAAGGCAAAAATCTTGAGTTGGAAGAGGGCCTAGTAATGTAGAACTTAATGGTAAATGTGGGTATGGATGTGCTGGATCTAGATACTACATGTTAAACTTGGCTGAAGACGAGACTCCGGCGGAGAGTCTAACAAATACCGGCATGGGATCGGTCCAAGGTGCAGTTGAGGGGGGTACAGTGGCACGTCAGCAAGCCGACACCAGCAAAGCCCAAACTATGAAATTGGCCAAGATCATACATTCACCAGCCCATGCTGCTGCTCATGATCAAATTATCCCTTCAAGAACCCATGTCTGGTAGCTCCCAAATAGTTCAACTAACGCAAAACACTATAGAAACACCTATTTTGGACAGCCAGAAGTACACAATTGTGCATATTCCTTACTCGGCTGCCTTGAACCATCAGATGAAACAAACACGCCAACTTTCTACAGGTAATAGGCCACCTTACACGATTAATGCCTTTAATCTTAAACCCAAATTCAAAGTCAAAGGTGGGAAAGAAAAATGATAAAGATATCATGTTGGCAATGGAAGATTTGGATGACACTCAAGGGATAGAGGAACATACATCCGACTTGGAGGTAGAGGAGGAACCTCTAGACTATGTTTTGAAAACCGGACCGGAAGGCGAACCGGCAACTTAAGTCGTTCACTGGTTTATCGGTTCAATCGGTTTAAATCAGCTTTTAAAACCGGTAAAAACCGACTATAAAAATTAATAAAAAAATAATTAATTTTCAAAATTTTAAAATTTCAGTTTAACCGGTACCGGTTTCCGGTCAAACCGCGATTTTGTCTGAATTTGACCGAATTTGACCGATTTTAAGTCCATTGGTTATCAATCCAAACCGGACCGAAAATGCCTCTGATTTCCAGTCGAACCGGTTCGACCGCCCAGTCCGGTCCGATTTGTAATTAAGCCAATTGGCTTCCTTCGTATATAAAATAATGATTACCTATTTTTAATTTAAATTATACTAAAATAAAAATTTAATCACCACGATCATCATGAGATTAAGAAAGTACTAAAGAAACATAAAATCTTAATGTCGTAGTTAATTAGTTAACTAACTAACTAGCACCGCTACACATTAAATATTACTACTCCGTCTCAAAAAAATAGTGCACATTGAGTTTTCAAATTTGTATTAAAAAGAGTACAAAATTTAAATTTTAAATTGGACTATTTTTTGGGATGGAGGTAGTACTATTATGTTTAACAATAAGAAAGATACTCCATCCGTTGGCATTTTTAAAGGTTTCTCTTAGTCATATTTATATAAAATATTTGATGTCATTAAGATTTTCTTTTTAGGGTACTTTTAATTTTAACCCTATTTAATTGCATAAACTTCAATTTGATTATTAGTATGTTATTTCTCGCCTAGGAAGTATAAGGAAAATAATCATTTGTGTGTTACATACAGTAGTTACAACTTACAATAACATCAGAATGAGTAGTTGAGGCCCCATATTGCTGGTTTGCTACATATACTAATACACGCTTTTGTGTTTGTTTATCATTCAGGCTTATTATTCGAAAACATGAAAAAGGAAAAAAAGAAGAAAAAAGAGAGAGACATTTAAACTGAAGTTTATTCGGGAAAATGAAAATTAACAGTTTTGAGACGGTAACCCTTTTGCCGGACCACCTGTCATTTCCCGGGATCTAAGATTACCATGTGTCACCCTCTAAAAAAATTTACCATTCCCCTATATTTCCTTTTTTGTTTTTCTTGTTTTTTTAATTTGTTTTTCTTTTTCTATCTAATTTTATATATATAACAATTATTATTAAGTTAAACAATATAAATAGTGGAGTAAGTATAAAATAAGTAGCTAATAGCATGATTTGATAAACTTAAGAAAAATCTATAAATCTATTATTTGTAATTTGATAAAAATCCATAAATCTATTATCTGTAATTTATTTATAAATATAATAAAAACTCATTTCCGTTATTTAATGAAGCCAACACTCTATATCGGGTGTTTGACCCTGACTCCGGCAAATAAGAAGAACAGAGAGCAACAGAGTATCAAAACATTTCGTCTCAATTTCTAAATCCCAAATCTTTCTTCTTAAATTCAGTTTCTCTCCCCGTCGAATCTCTCTCGTCGGCGTTCTATGGCGTCCAGTTTCACCATGTTTTCAAAAACCCTAACTAGAAGCTAACAGTCTCTGTGTTTTTTAATTTTGTTTTCAAAAAACCCTTTTTTTTGTTAATTTGTTTGTATTTTTTTTTGTTTCAATCTTGTAATAAGTGTTGCAGCTCGGATTGATGTGCTCATTGTAACAACAATGGGAGATTCCTGGGACCAGAACAAACTGTTTGTCGGTGGCGTTTCGCGGGAGACCACTGGAGATAGTTTGAAATGCCATTTCGAGAAATACGGTGCCGTTTTGGCCTCCGAAATCACCAAGGATCGGCTCACTGGCCTTTCCCGAGGCTTTGCTTTCGTCACAATGGCTGAACCTTCTGGGGTTGAGTCTGCTCTTCAAGACTCCCATGTTATTTGTGGAAGAACGGTTTGTACAGACTTCTCTTTCTGGGGCTTTTCTTGTTTAATTCGTTTTACCGAATTCATTTATAATTAAGATGGCATGTGGTATTTTTGGACAGTGGTTTTCACTGTTTTCCTTTGCGAAAGACTAATTAGATCTCTAGTCGGTTGTTTAAGGAAATCTATTTCAAGCTAGCATTTTGACTTACCGTACTGGTTTTTTGTTGGGTTAACTGTCATTTTTCTTTTGCTAATTTCGTGTGTTTTATGCTGATTTGGTAATTTATAGTTGTTTAATAGTGTTAGGAAGTGCCTTATGAGCCATAGTTTTCTGGTTAGACCTTAGTTTATCAGTAAACATACATAAGTTCTAATTCTTTTTGGTTGGGGTACACTGATTTTATAATGAACCTAAATTGTGTTTTCATCATAGTGTGCTTCCTGATTAGCGTTATTGGCAGCATTTCAATAAATAATTGTACGAGATAAAAAACTGTAACTGGGGCACAATATTTTCTGGTCAAATTTGTCATTGAGATGTTTTAATTATGTTTAGGTGGAAGTGAAAAGAGCAATTCCTAGAAGCGAGCAAGCAAACAGGCAACTGATTAGTAGGGGATTGGATAAGAATGGCAAGGATAGCTTTACGACTGACCAGCAAAACTTTAGGACGAAGAAGATCTTTGTAGGGGGTTTATCTGCTAATCTGACGGAGGACGAATTCAAGAATTATTTTGAGAAATTTGGTAGGATTACTGATGTTGTTGTAATGCATGACAATGTGACCCGTAGGCCTAGAGGCTTTGGTTTTATAACTTTTGCATCAGAGGATGCTGTTGACGAAGTTGTGCAGAATACTTTTCACAAACTGAATGATAAAGAAGTGGAAGTGAAGAGGGCTGTACCGAAAGAGAGCAGCAGTGGCAGGGCTAATGGTTATACTGCAAGGCCAGATAATGGTAGATTGATTAACTACAATAACCATCCAGGAAGTTTGCCAACTTTCAGTCCTGGCTATGGGCCTTTTCCTAGCTATGGTTCGGTTCCTGGTTATGGAGGTATTGCCGGGTACCCTTATGGTCCTTACCTTATTGGCGGTGGTTATCCTTATGGAGGATACCCAGGAGTTGGAGCTGGTTATGGTGTTGTTCCATGGTATGGCACAAGGACAGATGGCCCTAACTTTAGCACCGTTCCTCCTCCCTTTCGGATATGATGGTATGGTGGTATATTTGACAATGTGGAAACTCAAGTTGGGAGGTTACGCTGTTGTGTAAAGAACCCTAGATTCAACTCTGATTGATACCTGTGGTGACTTCAATGTTGATAGCTACATGAGATTGGAGAAAGGGTATGCAAGACTTTTGCTTTTTATGTAACATTTTCTATGTTGACTTGGTCCTTAATGTAAACATGTAACGTTACATGTAATATATGGATTTCGTTAAACATTCAGTTTTTAGATGTTTCTCATTGTCATATTGCTTTTGGTTTGTTGGGTGTGTCGATTTTCAAATTGCATTATTTTATTTTATTTTTACGCCCGGTGTTTTGGAAGAAGTTTGGTTGATGTTGAAGATACTTGGTTAGTTTATCAGGCAGAGCCGGGAGACAATTGAATGGTTACATGATCGTAATCATGCGATGTGGTAACTGTGGAAATGATTTTTAAAGCAATGAATGAAGTTATGATTTCTATTAGTGGTAATAACCTTTTCATTGTGATTTATTATCTTCCTAAGAAAGGTGATCCTACTTTTTCTACCATGTGCCAAACATACAATAAACATTTTTTAATGTGACAACCCAGCTCGATCCCGGCCTTGTGTCCTTATTTTCCTTCTAAATCTTCAGCTTAGAAGTGGATTCGAAATCCCTTATCGAAGGAGCATTTCATTAGAGTACACAAGTTGAAAACATTGATTTCGCAGTCATATGAAATTAGAGTATGCAGCTCTGAAACTAGTTGATAACTACACATCTACTTTGCAACACCTACATATATACATTCTTAGTGAAGGTCTCTTATGTTTAGTGTTAGTGCTTCTATAAGGGGATCTTCAACCCAAAGCTCCTTAGAGTTGAAACAGTGAAATCTCACTATTTTTACAGTTTAAACAGTGTCAGTATCTTAAACCCATTCCCTTTATAAAATCCATTTAAAAAGAATATTTTCAGTATATCCTATTATTTATTTATTTATTTGTAAAATTAAATTTTATTATTTGTATTTTATTCTATTCTATTACTAAAATAAATTACATTTAAGAAATTTTTTAATTTATGCATATGATCGCTAATTTAAATAATAATTAGTAATATAAATTATTAAATTTAAATTACATAATTTTTATGTAATTAATTATAGTAATTTTTTCACCATATATTATGTCAAGTAAATAAAATTACAAATAGTAAAATAACAAAAACATTTGGCTCAATGATAATAATAAAACACCATTACTAATATTATATTTAAATCATTAAAAATACATGACAAATACAAGTCGAAAATATTGCAAACATTAATTTAACAACAACACACGCTTGAAAATACAAATGCATATTTTGTGGAGAAACAAAAAAACATAGCAACACTAATTATTACTATGAGAATATTGTTCCTACATATGCTCAACCAAAGCATTACGAAGTTCAAACTGTGCTTTCATGTTTCTGATTTTTCTGTGCCGTGCTAGAAACTGTTCAAAACGGTCTCCCTCACGAGGCATTAGCGTAACATTTGAAGTAGAAAATTCCACGTTATCTCTAATTGGTGCACTGAGATCACGTTCATCTTCGATAATCATGTTGTACAGAATAATGCATATTGTCATTATATCATGAAGCACTTCCTTTTGACATAAACGAACGGGACCTGCGATAATAGCGAATCTCCTTTGCAGAACTCCGAATGCATGTTCAACATGTTTTCTACATGCCTCTTGTCTCGTTTTAAAATATTGTTGCATGGGATTAGTTGGTGCTACAATTAAATGTACTATAGTAGCCCATTTGGGATATATATCATCGGCTAAATAATAACACATATCATACTGTTTGCCTCGAATATTGTAACTAGCCGGAGGAGCAATACCTTCTGCAAGATTAGACATTAGATGGGAGGCTTCTAACACATTAATGTCATTGTTAGTACCTGACATACCGAAATACGCGTGCTATATCCAGAGATCATAATCCGCTACAGCTTCCAAAATGATGTCCAGAACATCCACTACATTGGCCAGCCCATCCGCTAGGACATTTATCCCATTGCCAGTGCATACAGTCCAAGCTACCCAACATACCTGGAAAATCACGTTGTTCACCAATATGAAGCAGCCTAGCGACATCAGCAGCATTTGGTGCCCTCAGATACTGAGAGCCAAAAATATCTACGATTGCGCGACAAAATTTTTTTAAGCATTCATTTGTTGTTGACTCGGCAATTTGAAAATATTCATCCGTCTGATCTGCCGGGACACCATACGCCAATTGACGCAATGCCGATGTTATTTTTTGATTTGTTGAGAGTCCAGGTCTACCAAGAGCATCATTGAGCTTTTTGAAATACCTATCATGACTTTTTACTGCATTAGCAATACGCTCGTAAAGAGTGAGAGACAAGTAAAACCTTTGACGAAAAGTGTCCGCGTCGTAGGTGGGATTGTTACTAAAGTAATGCTGGTACAAAGTCTGATCTGCACTTTCTCAATCACGATGGACGACTCTAAGGCCTGGGATCGAACCCCCTCCCCCCAGGTAGGTTGGCTACTTTTAGCAGAGATAGCGTGTGTCATCATGACATTAGTACTGTTTATGAAATGAGCAATTGGTAGATGGAAATCATTTTCAAATGGAGGAAATTCTGAATCTGAATTCTCCTCATCTGATTCATGATCAAATGGTGAATAACTCATTTTAATGATTATTGGGAAAACTACGGGAATAGAAGATATGAATAGAAGATGCTTGCATTGTATGACATGTTGGTTGTTGTTTATATAGACAATTGGAGAAATTGATTCCAAAGTATTGACTTAACGGCATGACTAATAATTTTAATTTATTGATTTCTTTTCAAATAAAAAAGAATCCTATGGTTTTTTTTTTGGCTTCATGGTCCAAGTGTAGTACAAAGCATTTTGTATTGTCGGTCCCAAAAGGAACCACATATATTGTCAGTACAATAAGGAATCAATGTTATTTTTGACTTGACCGTTACTATTTGTTCCAATAAAAGAAAGAATCATGTTCATTTATTTTGAATTGACGGTGGAGAATTGTCGGTATAAGGAATCCTATGCTTTTTTATTAAATGGTCCAAGTTGATGATTAATGTGTTGTTAAATAATGAATCCACTACTTTTTTAACTTCATGGGCCCCATTGATAACAAATGAAGTTAGAGTTTTTAGTCAAAAAAAAGAATCCTACGCATTTTTTTTGGCTTGGCATGACTAATAGTAGTAGTAATAGATTGAGTATTTTTCAGTAAAAAAAATTCAATGTTTTCTTGTGACTTGATGATGACTATTCAGTCCATCATATTTTATTATCGGTACAATAAGAAATTATATTTTCTTTTAATTGACGGTAGCTATTAGTCCTATACTTCTTTTTTATTAACTGGTCCAAGTCGATTAATAATGATACATGTTCATGAATAATGAATAATGATGGTCCAAGTTGATGAATATTGAATAATGATGGTCCAAGTTGGCTTGATAGTTGGTTCCAATAAATGAAATAATCTGATTCATTTATTTGAATTGACGTTAGATGTTCAGTCAAATGCATTTTATTGTCGGTGGCATAAGGAATCCAATGTTTTCAGTCCAAGAAAAGGAATCTGATGCATTTGTTTTGTTATTGGTCAATATACACACTTTTTTCTATAAAATAATCCGAGTACTTCATTCCAATTCGCATCCACTTCTCCTTCTAATCTATACCTTTAAACACTCTGAACAACAAAAATGGCTTCTAAAAAGGGGGTTAACTACACTTAGGCAGAAGATGAATTTCTTGTAAATGTTACATCCATATTTCAGAAAATCCAATTGAATCAAACAAGCAGAAAGCACAAACATTGAAAGAAGTTTAATGGATGTTTACAACAGATCGAGAATCGCAACCCTAGTGGGACACAACTCGGAGATCGGGTGAGTTTATAATTTTTATTTTTTTTCTAGTTTTCAATTTCATTTTAATTGTAATGTGCTATTATTGAAAGAATCTTATGTATGTTAGTCTTATTTTGTTTTTCTTTTGTAAATGAAACAAGCCGAAGAGCTATTTATTCAAACAACAAAATTTAAAACCGGGTTCAATTTTGGCCATGTGTTTGATTTGCTAAAAAATTTTGGCAAATTTAATGTCCCCCAACCAAAATATGGTTCTCAGGAGTGTACTAGAATCAACGACTCGTCGGAATTCGAAAATCCTAATCCAGAACAACCAACACATGTGTCTCTAATGTTGTCATCTCTTAATCCTGAACAACGCTATGATAGTGGTAGTCGAAGTGGACCATCATCTCGACGCCCGATGGGAGTGAAGAAAGCCAAATTGAAGAAGAAAACAGAAGACCATTTGAGTAAGATGTTTAGTACTTTCAATGCAAAAACTGATGCTATGCTTGATTTTATGAAGGCACAAGATGAACGCCAAAACCAACAACTTGAAATACAAAAACAAAACTTGGAGTACAGAAAAAAAACAACAAGAGGACAAAGTGCTGATGATGGACTTTAACTCTATTCCGAATGTATCGGTTCGTCGATATTGGGAAAGAAAGTAGCTCGAAATTATACAAGCAAGGGATTTACAAGAATAACAATCTCAAGGACAATCATCGTCTAACATGGGACAGTTTGGAACACCATCAAACAATGGACAATTTGGATTTCTCAATGATATAGGACATAGTGGAGGCAATTTGAATGATTATTATGGTAGTGATGATAATTAATTTGTGAAACTGTCTACTTGCCGTTTGTATTAATGCTTAGTTTCCTAATTGTTGTTTTTATTGTCGTAGTATTTTTATTTGTGAGTTTCAATGATGTATTTCTTTTTATTTATGCTTAGTAATTTTTTCACCATATATTATGTCAGTTAAATAAAATTACAAAAAGGAAAATAACAAAAATATTTGGCTCGAAGATACTAATAAAACACCATTACTAATTAACATTTAATGAAAAAATAAATATATATAATTAAATTATAACAATTAAACTAATTAATATATAAACATGCCCAAAAGGACCCAACTACAAAAATTAGTAAAAAAAGTCCAAAATGCTTCAAATTGGTCCAAAGAAAATAAAAATCCAGTACAAAACTCTAAATTCAGCCCCAATTTAGTAAAAAAAAATAAAAAAAAAAGAGAAAAAGGGTCACCCACTTCATAGCGGGTGAACAGTGCTCTGCCAGATTTGAAGGAGGGCGGAATACTTTGGCGGAGAGGAGCAGAGCGGAGTGCGGTGGAGCGCCCGCTAGTTTAGCGGACGTGTTGAAGATGCTCTAATTTCTTGTTCTCCCTGAAAAGAGTAGAGTTCATATTGAGAAATGAGAATGCATGGAAGTTGGAACTAAAACGTACTGAGATTTCATGGGCTTTGTTATGGGCTCTGGAAAAATGTCCATACTTATTTATTATCACTTTTCACCAGAGAGTGTGACCAAAATTAATGATACGCTTTGACCAACTGTTCTACCCATCGAGGTGTTTACAATTCAGCGAGGGTGTATTGTCGATGGTGAATATCCTATAAATATGAGAAAAAAAATAAAAAATAAAAAATTAATGATACGAAATTACGAACGGAAAGATATCTTTCTCTATTTTTTTGAGATCCCAAATTTAGACTCACAAGAAAAATTAAAAAAGAAATTTCTCTTTCCTCAGCCATACGTTACGTGAAAATTGAGGCACAAATGAAATCAAAGGAAAATTACTATGCCCCCCTTCTTTTTTCTTACAAAAAAGAAAAGGCAAAAAGAAACAAAATGTGATAGTCTCAGCCGTTCAGGAAAATCCGCAACCAGGAAATTTGGGAATTCACCTCTGAGAAAACGATGAGTCTGATGAGCGGCAGCCAAGCTCCGGGCGGAGGAGGGGCGGTGGCGGCAGCAGTATCATGTACTCATCGATGTTCCCTTAAATTCATAAACCCAATTCCTCCCTTATTCTCCAGCCACCGAAGGCCACCCAAATTTCAATCCACTTCTATCAGTAACAATGTCCACAAGCCACTCACTGTGGCCAATGCCGAACCCACCAGCCAGACCACTAGTACGAGCTCCCCGAGTGGCGCCAATTCATCCGGACCTAATTTAAACAACAGTCCTCCAATCACTTTAAAGGGTCAAGGAGATGTTCCACTTGAAGGTGTTATTCAGTTTGAAAAGCCGTCTTCTTCCACTGCTGCTCTCATTTCCAAATGGGGGTAATTTTTATTTTTTATTTTTTTTATGTTATTTCAACTTCGGATTTCCTCGTTGTGCTACTTCTGTTCGTATTTTATTGATTTGGGAGGTTGTAAAATTAGGCGGGTGGCGTTGCTGTCTGGTGGAGATGTATTGGCACTGATCTTGTTCTCTGCAATTGGAAGATTTAGTCACGGCTTTGTTGTTTTTGACTTAGAAACGTTGAAAACTGCGGACCCTTTTATTGCTGGTATGCTTTTTTTTTGTTTTTATACTCATTTAATGCAGTTTTATTTGCCTGCAACAAAATTATTAGAAGGTTTGGTCTGAGAATTCTAATTTGTTATGATTTTCTGGTTAAATTAGGTTGGTTTTTGGGTGCTTATTTTCTTGGAGGATTTGGGAAAGATGGTCGAGGTATGAATGGCCGGAACAAAGCCATTACAGCTGCTGCCAAGTCATGGGCTTTAGGCATACCAGTAAGTCAAGTTCTGGTTTTACTTGTTACTTGCAACTGTATTCTAAGATAGATGCCTGTGATTGAAATTTAAAGTCATCACATGTTATTTCTTCGCAGAACTCCACTTTTACTGATATTACATGATTCTGACCTTTGAAGAATGGGATCAGAATGGTTGATATTCTCTATATTCAGCTTGTCCGTTCCTATTAGAATACTTGTATGTATAAAGGAAATGGACTGTGACAAACCTAATTTGAATAGAGGAGTAATGCTTCTTTGCCATTTACAATGTAGTTGATGACATTGAATCTCGAGGCTGCCAAAGACAAAATGCGTCAACTAGAGATGCTGACAGTAAATTTAGATTAGGTTTTAAATCAAATGACCAAGCATATCTGAATCGTACGTCGTTATCAAGTGTAAAATCAATGGAAATAAGTGTATTTTAACAACTAAAGTCTCTTGCAACTGAATTTGGAATGCTTAGCTAGAGTAGCCCATATGAATGCTTTGCTTAATCAATGCTTTATGTGAAATTTGATGTTTGCGCCGCTAGAGGATTTTTTTATGTAAAAATTTTGATCACGTGAAATATGTTCTCTTACAAGGAACCTCGAATTTTTTCTGTCGGATCTTATCCACTTCAGGTTGTAGTTTTAGTTTTGTCATTATAGGACAACTGACTTCAATTTTTGGCTTCCTTCTTGGACAGTTGGGAATTATAATAAGGTCAATAGCTCTTGGGCATATACCGGCAACCAACTTTGTGATTGTAACAATGGGGAGCACTGCTGTCTTACTCATTGGGTGGCGAGCACTAGTGTCTAGCATTATTGCCGAAGAGAAAAGTACGAACGATGATTCTTACAGACGGGGTAGCCCTTTTGAACTCTTCGAGGTACTGGTTTCTTATTCTGAAGAAGCCTGGTTCTTGGAATCCCAATTTCCTGCTTTCCATTTTCATGAATGTACTTTGCTTTTCATGGATGGGTTGGATATGATATGGCTATTAGGATAAGTTCTTTGAAATTGAAATTTACAAGGGCCTTACTGAAGCTCTCTCATTTATTGATTGCTTGAAAAATATGATCTCCATAACACATGTGAAATGTGATCCAACACTTTTTGTAGCTTATCTGAAGTATTTGAGATGCTATAAGCACAAAGTTTCTGCCAATAGTATTTTCAACCATAGCTGATAAGTAGACGATGATAAGTATGATGGTCAGTCCAAGTTTGGTATTGTGTTTTCGATTTTCTGTTCCATCCTACATTTGTTGTTCATGTTAAAATTCTGTGTTCCATTTATCGAGAATGAATCTGGCTTTAGTAGTACGTTCACAACTGAATGTGGGGGAATCAAAATGACAGTGCCAACAGGGGTGACTTTGGCCTGTGTCAAACTTCTATATTACCCTTTTCGTAATGAGGAATAGAAGCTAAATTGTTAATCAAGATGGATGAAGTCTATTAGACTTGAACTATATTGGTGGTCTGCTTAAGGATTCCAATAGCCCTGATGCCAAAAGCTTTGAACTTTGGATTTGTCCCTAGATGTTTAAAGATCAAATTTCAATTCACTTAGTGGTGATCCTTCTTTCTCAGCTTGGCATCCCTTTGCCCTAGTTTTATTTGAATGCAACATCAACTATTTTAGGTGTCGCCCTTTGAAGCAAAATGCATCAACTGGTTGATTACATAAATTATTTTTTTTCGTGTATTCCTGTGTGAAATTCGTATTTTAAGTGAGTGTCAACCAAGTGTAAGTCCTGATGGTATGCAGTAGCTGTTGCTGGAAAGTTTTTTGTGGTCTCGCTTACTGATGCCAAACAATCTTTTGTTTTGCAGTTGCTTACGTCGCTGGTAAGGAGGTGGTAAAATTGCCTGTATTTGATGTATAACTGTATCATATAATATGTTTTCAGATAGGCAACTTTCGAAGTTTTGTACATGTAGCTAATTCTGAGGTAAACAAAAGCTAAGTCCAGCATAGTTTTGCATTTGTAAGAACTGATTTTCCACTATTTGGAATAAATTTTGTTTCTGTTGTACTGTGGACATTTGAGACGTGCTAATTGAAGCTCAGAACTCGGTATTGTGATTTATTTAAATTGCTCCAGGTTTCTTCGTGTAACCTACCCAAGGCTCACTGTATGAGTTGTTTCAATATGCAGAAGAACAATACATGTATGGAATAATCTGTGATGTTAGTACACGGATATGAAATTCACTTGGTAACGTGCCTATTATTATTGGAACACTACAGAAATTGCCGCCTCCACATTTTGATGGAAACTGCTTTTTAGGAGAATAGTGTAAAAAAATCAAAGGCTTACCAAAGTTCTGTTATTCTAACAATCAGTCATGTTAATATAGTTTGGCCGGATTAAGGATCTTTTCTTCAAACCCTTTTGACCAAAACTATCTTCAGCAGTTTCTAGTTGGGAGGCTAAATTTAGGTTGCAAATATAATGTATAAAGCTTGTTCCATATTTGCAGGTTTGAAATTTTGAATAGCTTTTTAGATCCATGAAAAGACCTACTTATCAGAGGAAATCAAGGCATACCCATGATCTAGTATTATACTATACTATGTAGCAGTGTACTTTGGTCTTCAGAAACTTCCATATTTTTGGGACCTGGAATTGCTGCTGGATGAACTGATGCCTACGATCTAAATCTCCAGTGCTGTTCTTTTCTACAAAACCCATTGAAATTACAAAATCAAATAAGGTCCAATCCAAAAGTTTTAGGTCGGCGAATTCATAGCTAGGATGGTTTTTCTTTTTTTTTCAAACCATATATTTTTCATGCTGTGGATAATAATTTAAGTGATGGGATTGGTAGTGTCCCATCGGAGGGATCTCTGGCAAAGCCGGATTAATACGTACTACTCTTTTCTTTTCTTTTTTTTTGGGGGGGGTTTTGCCAGCCAATCTTTGGCAGGAAGAAAAAAAAAAAAAAAAAAACAGTCTCTGATCAATTATCATCAATGACTCAATCAAAACCCAGTTTTGACTATTGTGTAGAAACTGCATTGATTGATCCTGCAGTCACTTTGAAACATCTTCTTTTCTTTTTTTTTTGAGAAAAAACTTTGAAACATCTTCTGCAGGAATCTATCTAGTGTAGACTTCTGCATCTACAACATTTCTATCAATCTAGTTATGATTTTTTAAATTTTTTTTTTTTTTGTTTTGGCTGACGTCCAGATATTTTTCTGGGGATGATCATAATAGAATCTAATTTAATTCTTGGGTTTTGAAGTCAAACCTTTCTTTTTTTTTTTCTCTCAAATTCATTGTAAATTTGTAGTAATGTTTGTTCCATTTTATTAGCTCATCCAGATGTGATTTGTTAAGTGAAAAAAAAAAAGGAAGAGGACCCCTGGGCAAATGCAATTGTATTTGGGAATTTGAGAAGGTTGAATTTGAAAAGAAACAAAAAAGCTTTTCATCAAGAAAAAAAATGCATGCGGGAAAGTGGCCCATAGCCTTATAGTATATATATTTTGCAACTTCCCGAGGTTTATGACAAATGCACATTCTGGCATTCTGTTTCATATGGAATCTGGATCTATTATTACAGGCCTTTATAGGGGCTGAGCTGATCAATCTGTATATTGTGGGGATACCTTTCACCACATTGATATGAATGGATTAAGTTTCGTGTCGACTGAATGATTCCGTCAATAAAACGTTTTAGTAAATAGGATGAGAGTAGTTAAGAAATAACAAGTTGAAAACTACCATTACTTTGAGATAAGAAATTGGAATTGATATTGTCAGTGAGAAGGACGAAGTTCTGAAAGAAGCTTTTAATGGAGGTTGGTGACATTTGCTATATGGTTTTCTTTTTCTTTTTTTTTTCTTTAACTGAACAAACTGAACCAATGGAAACATGTTTGCTCTTAAAAACACTACCACCCCCCATGCCATGATGGTAGAAAACTACCCTTGTACGTTTTCCCTTACCATTTATGGTTCAAAGAAAATGGGCAAAAAAAAGAGACCAAATTAATTAACATATGTCTTGTTTCCCCAACTCACTCCCCCACCTTTGTAATTGAACCCCAAAGTCTAAACAATAATCTTAACAAACACCTAAGTTTGAGTTCCAAAAACGGATTTACATAATCGAATTGAGATTAGTTCGTGTGATTTAATACATTATTTTTGTAAAAGAAAAAACAGAAGAAAGTGCTTGTAGAGAGGAAGGAATGTGAAATTACGTAGTATTGGAGGAGTACTAAAAGCTCTAATGGCAACAACATATTGAGTTGTCTTAATCGTATAGACTTTTAGTACATTTTGTTGATTTTGTCTAGAATGGGGACTTTTATCGTTTCTGCTACTTAGGTTATTACCCTATTTGTGAAATAAGAAGAAAGAAAAAAGCATAGGGTTGTAGGTTTCCAAAATCTTAATCCTAATAAGCCAACCAATTGAAAACGGGAAAAAAAAGGAGGGGGGGGGGGTGTAAGAGAAAAATCGAAGGTGATTGCGACTATACAGTTCGTGTTAGATTGTGACGTCTCATTTTCCTGATTAAAGCCAAGGAATTCTAACACTTGTATTTACCCAATTGAAGTATCCAAGAATTATGGCTTTCTTTGGCTTCACTTTTAAGCCTACCCCAATATGGTTCTTATTCTTACTAATACTGTTACTTTAGGTTCCCTTTTGTATTTTGTCACAAAAAAACTCTCCATTTGTCGTCACTCTTGTGTATTTATTATGGCATTAGCCTGATATAAAGATTTGGACTGGAACTAGTTTATCAGACATAGCATACATTTGTCCTGACCAGCTCGTTATATAGAGTTCATTACTTCTTTTTTTTTCTATTTTCGATTACTTCCTTTGAAATTTTGTCATAAAAGTTATTGGATTGGAAATAGTTTCACTTTCTTGAAACCCTAAATGGACAATTTTTTTTATCTATGACTTTAGGTACAAGACTCTTAAAATATTTGATAAATGTAGTATTAGATAAAATCACAAGGACATAACTAAGGTTTACGTGACGTGGTCCAGTGAAAATGTCGAAATGACTATATTGAATAAACCACTTTAAAAGGTGTTACACAAAACGTTAGGGATTTATATTATCTAATGTTTGTGATTAAGAAAAAATGAAAGGAAAGCAATTTCATCCAAAAAAAAACGAAGAAAAAAAATGAAAGATTTTTTTTTTTACTGAAAGCTAGGGGATGAAAACAACGAATGAAGGTGAGCGGGAAATGGAGAAATGTTTGTGTATGAGGATTTTAATTAATTAAAATCAGTAGAAGCAGTTGTCGTTCTCAGATGTTAAGGAAGAGGCCAGCCGTGTGACATGAATCGATGACGATCTCATATATATATATATAAAATGAAAAACCCATGATTTTGAGTAAAGACTGGGATGATGACCATTCTGAAGACCCAACTTTCCTCTGTTGGGCATTTTCTTTCCTTTTTTTTTAATCGTTTATTTTTTATATTGGATTATTACTACTTTGCTGCAATAGAAGTATCTACTGGTTAGATTTTGGTTTGGAATTTTGTGATGCTCCATTTCTCATTTCTCACGTGAACCACAATTACTCTCCTGTGGAGTATTTTTCAGTTCTTTTCTCAGGGTAATTTGAATCGAGTGTACCATATCTACTCAGAAATTGTGTTTGATTGATCAAAGGTAGACAATCCAATTTCTTGTTTTCTTTTTATTGTATTTATTATTACGGAGTGGATGAAGTACACAAGATGAAAAGGTGAAAGTAAATTTCTCCGCAAATAATTGAAATGCTATCTCGAAGATCATTATTATTCCATCTCAAAATTATTGTTCAGTTTAGATTTTGATTTTTAGTATAATTTAAACTAGAAATGAAAACTCAAACTGGACAATAATTATGGGGCAGTGGTAGTATGTCTTTTGCATCATGAATTCCGACAGTGTTTATAAGTCATAAATGTTTCCATGTCTTTTATTGGTTTGGAATATGAGGCCAAATGTTAAAAACTCAAAATTTTAATAATGTTCTTGCGATGAGCTACTCTTCTAGTACAACATTAGGACCATAACTATTCTCTTACTTACAAGGAGGATTTAGACACTTTCAAATCTCTTGAAAACTATCATGTTTACTGTAAGATTAGTTCCCCGACAAATATTTCTTGCATACCGCAATATTAAAATGAAAAAAATGATATAGATAGTGATAAATATATTATAAATTGAAACAGTAACTGAGTTGATTTTTTATTTTGTTGGCAGTTCGCCGTAAAATTGCATCTTTCTATTTTAAAATTACACTTTACCCTTAATTATTATGTACACATTATTATAAGTTTTTGTTATATTTTTTATGGCTTTCTCTATAACTGCTATGTTAAAATATGGCTAGTTGGTTTGGCTACTGCTACTAATAGTTGGAACATGCATAATAAGTGGTAATAGTGAAGTAATTAAAGTTTGACCGGCAGTCATTCAACCTTAATTAATCCGGAAAGAAAGGAAGAAGAAATGATGAGGAATTAGAGAGTAATTGAGTGAGAGAAAGTGAAACCACGAGGGGGCACTCGATTCCTCTTTTTTTTTTTTTTAACCTAAAGAAGCCATTATTTGTTCGACTAAAACAAAAAAAAAAAGATAAGATTTAATTTTAAGTGAAATCTATAATAAAGGATTGATGGTGGATTCACTCATCATCACCACATAATAATCAAAAACACACAAACACACACCAAAAAAAAAAAAAAACCCACATGCACACAATCTCTGGCAATCACTTGTTTCCTTTTTTTTTTCTTCCCTCCCAAATGATCAGTTCTAAGGGGTCTTTTCTGTGGCTTGAATATTCAAAAAACCAAATCATTTCCATGGGAAAATCTGTCGCCACCAATTTGCCAATCCATGCAAAAAAAATTTTTTATCTTCTTGCATGCTACTACATTTTGCACATTCTCTTCTTCATATCTCTTCATCATCAAGAAGAGAAGAAAAGACGCATTTTCTTTCAAAAGTGACCCTTCCTATTAATTCCCACTATCTATCTACCGATCTACATTGGTTATGTCCTTTGATCATCATCATATCATTATAATCATCACCTCCATCACAGTTTAAAACTAACAAAAAATATTAATGTACATTTTATCCGTACACATTACTTCACTACTAAGGTATCTGAACCACATTTTCTTCCCTCAAGAAAAATTTTCTCTACATCCTTTTTTTTTTTTTTTAGTGTTTTTCTTTCACCCTTTCTTTCTTGGTCATTTGTAGAGTTGCTGCGAGGAAAGAAGGGAAGAGGGATGTAAAACTGCGCCAGATGAACTGTTTTAGTTTTATTAGCCAAATTATTTTTATTAGTGGATTATTATATCCTGACGCCGTGGTTTTGATTAAATTTACTTTACAAGCGTACAAGGTGTCTTTTTGTCCACCGTTGTAATTGACATTTCAGATAAAGGTCTCATGTTAGTAAAGACACTCTTTTGAGTCATCGATCGGTGTAATTAATTTTTCAACTTAGGAGATCTTCTAAAATATTTCTTCTGAAGATTCATCAACCGATTACCAAAATAACTTTGTTTGTTATGTTTTTTTTTATAGTATTTTCAAAATATTTAAATAATAACAATCCCATCCCAGCATACCTTTTTACATTTTCAATACACTTTTTATATTTCCAATATAAAAACACTTAAAAACATACACTAAAAAGACAAAACAAACATACATATAAAACATATGTATAAAGATGTTTGTTTCGTCATGTGTACGTTAGTACGTACGTACGTAAACACATTTACATGGAACATAAGTGGAAATGCTTTATGTAGCGCATACTTTGTTGTAAATTTATTTGATTAAGAAGAATACACAGATTCTCTTGTTTGTGTGAAACATTATCACATTTAGTTAATTTTTTAGATAAAACAAAAGGAAATCCAAAGATAGATAGCTATAATTTAGACTAATGCGATACTGCATTGGAAAAAAAAAAAGAAGCAAAAACCCTTATTTTCTTGCTTTCTTTTGTCTTCCATGTTGAGGAAGGATTAAAAGTAGAGGGCCCTTTTCCTCATCATTCCAGGAATATTTGGAGCATGTTAGAGACCCACTCTCTACTTTTTGTCTGGAAGCAGGTGTTGACTAAGCACCGATTCACCACTATTTTTTAGTTGAAATTAATAAAATCAAATCGAATTTTGTGACATATTATTGATGTTTAATTTGTTATTGGACAAAATTATCATAAATTATATCATTTTTGTTTAAAAAAATAATAATTTATATTGATTTTTTAAAAAAATAAATTTGTCTAAAAATAAGGAGTATAATTCATTATTAGGAAGTAAAATGTAGATTGAAGAGGACATCATGTGTCACACCAGCAATGTGTTGATCCATTTATTTAACTATTGGCCGCTTTATTTGTATAAAAAATTATCAACACGTACGACTTTTACTGTTTAAATTACAAAAAGAAATGTGCATTTCATCGTTTTACAGATTCATTTTTTGCATGAACTAGTATTAAATTGTGATGTGGTGGGCTGTACTACATACATTTGCATTATCTTTATATATTCTTTGATTTACCGACAAAAGGCAATAAAAGGGATTTTCGGCGTATTTATGGTTGATGAATAAATATTTTTGTCGAGGATTTTCTTTTTTTCCTTCTTTTGGTTGCAAACTGATCATGCGTGTGTAATGTTTTTCCTTTTTGTTGACTTTAATTTTGGATTTTTGCTGTTTTCTTAAACAAAATAATGTAGTTATACAAATCGTGAGAAATTACGCATATATATAGAGAGAGAGAGAAAGAGATCGTATCTTGAAATTAAATGGAGAAAATCGAAACACAGTTGCCTACTGAAGATTTGTGGTATAAATTGTTGACAATGATGGCTATATATATATATATATATATAGCTTTTGTTCTAACAAATTATTTTTGTGTTATATACGGCGATATTTTTTTGATGTTAAGGGGACCCCTAACGTTTTTTGATACTGTGGAGAAAACATTCTAATAGACAAAGTTAATGCGGTTATGGCCGAAGCCAAAATAACTCGATTTCATGTCTCAATAAATGGAGTTTTTTCCCAATTATTTTTAAGACTAATATCAACATCTTTGAATAGTAGTATTAGCAGAGCCAATTATTTGTTGTTTGCTAGAAACTTCTTTATGGATTCATGAGTAGTTAAATGTGTTATTCCCTCTGTCCCAAAATTATTGCCCAGTTTAAAATTTTATTTTTAGTACAATTTGAACTAGAAATGAAAATCCAAACTGGATAATAATTATGGGAAGGAGGGAGTAATATACTAGTTAAAATCTTTTATAGATCAAGCGACAATGGCTCTATCCGGTACGTTTTCTTTTGTGTGTGTGTGTGTGTGTTTTTCTTTTTGTTTGAAATATACACAATTATTTAGAAATGTATAAAAAATCATTTCTTGAGGTGGTGAAATTAAAGCTATTTGTGGATAGCGAACCTATGTTTTGGTTCATTTTTCTGTTGGTTTTTTCATGATTTTGTATTAATAAACTTTACATTTCAACATATAGTTTTACATTTTTCATATACGTTTTCTATACATTTTTTATAGGAAAAATACATAAAGCACACACTAAAAACACAATCCAAACATAAGAAATATTGAGGATAATTAACAATTACAATATTTATTTCATAATTATAAAATTACACTCTTTATATCTTATGTCCAAAATAATTAATCTCACTAATTCCCATTCTTCCCCCTTTTGACATTTTTCTGATCAATGCCGCGTAGCAGTACTTCATATCAAACTTTATCTTTATACCATCTAGTTTAGTAGTAGCATTTTTTTTCCCCCATCATTGTACCGGGCATTCCATGCAATGCATTACAAAAAAAGTGTGGAATTGCTAACATTGATCCAATCAAAGAGAAGAACACAAAAGCAAATGGGAATACAGAAAAGGCCATTACAGCATGCAAAATAATGAACTCATCTTTCTGTCAAATCCATCTTCGCCATATGTTGTTGAGACGTATCCATTCCCTGTTTATACCATTACCATCCCAAAACGAAAAAATAGATCTTTAATGTAACGCTAAATAAAAAATATATACTTTTTCCGTTCCAAAACGATTTTGAATCATTTGAACATTAATGTAGTTAAAAAATTCTGAATACTTCATGTAAGTACTATGTCAGAAGGAGGATCAATTAATTTGCATCAGTTTGGGATTGGAAATTTGAAAAGCAACCACGAAGAATGAACAACAACAAGTGGGGGTGAAATGAAAAGAGGGCCAAAATTAAAGTCAAGTTGGATGGGGAAAATATTGCATGGTTTTGAATTTTGATTCGGACCCCTTTGGTATAACTGCAGACTACAGAAAACTCGTACTGTATGAAGTGACTGGATGGGCAGACGTCCTCTTTGCCCGTCAAATCTTTCCACCCAAAAAGCCTATTCATACTACTATTATTATACAGACGGTAATAAATCAATTTATTCATAAAGCTACCTTCTTTTTTGCAATTCTTCTTCTTCTTTTTTTTTTTGAATTTTTTTCCAGTTCAATTTTTTTTTTTTTTTGGCCAGTATCTATGGTCTCTGACCATGCTTCTATCTTATTGGCTCCCTATAACCCACTAGATTCAATTCATTAATTAAAGATACAGTTTTTTTTTTACCTCATATCACTGAAAAGTAACAAAACAACAAGGAACAAAGGTCCATTATAAGGGGATGTGTTTTAACTCTTATCTTGGGGGGTTTGGCTAATGTTTCAGTTATGATTCTTTCTTTTTCTGGGTATTAATTAGGTGGGGTTTTATTAAAACCAACTTTTTTGAGGGGTTGATCAGGTTTTAAGAAATTATTATAGAAACTAGAAAAAGAAAAAAACAGAAAGACAAAAATCCATTATATACAACTTGTATTGTATAGTAGTAAGAAGTTACAACTCTTTTTGAGTTTTGGGCTATAAATATATATACACAGATCCCTATGGAAGAGTATGGGAATGCTGGCCGGGATGCTACCCAGCATTGTTGCTTCTTCTACTTAGTTGAAGTTCATTCCTTTTGTTTCAAACTAAATAGTTTTTATAAAAAAGGGACCATTTTTTTTTAAGCTTAACTCAGCTCGAGAGATTGTATTTTGGTGTCTATCTTTTGTTTGTGTTTGTGCGTGAGAGAGAGAGAGAGAGAGAGAGAAACAGAGAAGAAAAAACACTGTGCATTTCTGTGCAGAGGGATTTAAGAGTCCCTTTATAACAACCATCATTTTGGGTGGTGTGGTTTTATTATTTTGTGGGCATCTGCTTCTTTGTTGTTTGTCTTCCAAGAGTTTTCCTTCTCTGCAGCAAGACTACAAATATCAAAGGAAGAGTGTGTCTTTTTGAAATGATTACTTTTCATTTCCACTCCAATGATTGAGTTGCCTTGAGTACCAGAATATACTTGCTACTTCTACTAGTAACTGCTGTGTTGTTTATTAAGCAAAACTCTTTCTCTGCTGGAAGAAAGAAAGATGAAGTCTTTGAATGATCACAACAGCAACAATGGCAGAAGTGCTGATGATGCTAATGCTAATAATACTAATAATAATAATAATAACAATAACAATACTAACTGGTTGGGTTTCTCTCTCTCACCCCACATGAAAAACAACATGGAGGTTACTTCTTCTGACCACCAGCAAGCTCATCATCAGTTCAATCATCAACAAAACCCGCCACCAACAAGTTTCTGCCTTTCTTCCTCTTCTCCTTCTTCTCATTTTATCAACACTTCTTCTGCTACTCCACTCTGCTTTGGTGTTTCTGACAACGTTGCCTTTTCCTCACCTCTGTCTGTAATGCCTATTAAGTCAGATGGTTCTCTTTGTATTATGGAAGCTCTCAGAAGATCTCATACTGAAGGTTAGTTAGTTAGTAGTTGTTGTTTTTCGATTTCTGATCCAACCCTTTTTTGTGCATGTTTTGATTTATGTTGTGTTTGTGTTTTTTCTGTCTTATTATCAAGTTATGGGAACCAGTTCTGCTCCATCTCCCAAACTGGAGAACTTTCTTGGTGGTGCAACTTTTGGAAGCCATGAATATGGTGGCCAAGACAGGGAATCCATGGTGTTGAGTTTGGACAGCATTTTCTACAACCATCAGAATGTTGACCATGAACCCAACAGAGAGGAGTCATCAATGGACCTCCTGCAAGAGCCCATAAGGCAACATCCTTTCTACTTTTACCAGAATCATCATCTTCATGAAGAAACAAGTCATCATCAGGAAGATCAGACCAGAGTCAGCAGCTGTGATGCTGAAATCCCAACCAATTGGGTTGTGGCCCACTACTCTGATCAGCATGCACAACTTGAACAACAAATGAACAATGGCACAGCCGCCGTGGTGGGCGGCGGAGCTGGTGGCTCTTCCAGTAGTTCTGTGATGGGCTGTGGTGAATTGCAATCTTTGAGCTTGTCAATGAGTCCTGGTTCTCAGTCCAGCTGTGTAACTGCTGCTCCAAGACACATTTCAACAACTGAGGCTGAGTGCATTACAGCCATTAATGAAACTAACAAGAAGAGAAGCTGTGGAAATGTGGCTCAGAAACAACCTGTTCACAGGAAGTCAATTGATACATTTGGTCAAAGAACTTCCCAGTATAGAGGTGTAACAAGGTCAGTTTTTGAGGCTTCTTAAATTCATTACTATTAATAAAGTTCCTGTATTTATGTAATGGAACCTTTATCAATCTAGGACCCATAAATGTTATAATAATTTAAAATGGTTTACTTAATCTTTACAAATAGACTTGTTTGTTTATCAGGCATAGATGGACCGGTAGATATGAAGCTCATCTGTGGGATAACAGTTGCAAGAAAGAGGGACAGACAAGAAAAGGAAGGCAAGGTTAGTGAAGAAAAACAACAATAATAATACTGTTTTGTTTTTGGATGTTATCGCTTTTGACTACCATATTTGGCTCTTTTGTTCACGTTCTGACTTGCTATAAATTTTGTTTGTCGTGTTGATGCTTGTTCCCGGATGTGCTATTCTTGTCATATGACCCCATTTTTCCAGTTTATCTTGGTAAGTAATCTTTTTCATTAATTTTTAAGTTCAACTATTTAACTAGTTTTTGTAAAATGCATGTAATTAATGGCAGTAAAATTATGTTTCTTTTTTAGGTGGATATGATATGGAAGAGAAGGCAGCTAGAGCTTATGATCTTGCTGCTTTGAAATACTGGGGTCCTTCAACCCACATTAACTTCCCGGTATGCGTTGATCTTCTTGTTCATGGCTCTTCTTCTTTTTTGTAGTGTTGTATGATTTTCGGTGTATTTAGTGTTGAAATATTCTTCTTTTTTTTTTTTTTTTTCTTTACAGTTGGAAAACTACCAACAGCAACTTGAAGAGATGAAGAACATGAGCCGCCAGGAATATGTAGCTCACCTACGAAGGTAAAACTTATAATGTGACTCTAAGAACACTTGAGAAGTTGTTTTGGTTTTTTTAACCTGAGATTATCTTTAAAGTATCTAACTTTCTGATGTAAAACAGGAAAAGCAGTGGATTCTCTAGGGGTGCTTCTATTTACCGTGGAGTAACTAGGTAATTTCTACAAAAAATCAAGTCTTTATTTTTTTTAATTGGATATCTTACATTGGCAGGTCGGTAATTTCTTGTGAGCTGATGTTTTTCATTTTCCATTTTTTGTCGTTGAATTAGGCATCATCAGCATGGAAGATGGCAAGCAAGAATTGGCCGTGTTGCTGGAAACAAGGACCTTTATCTTGGCACTTTCAGTGAGTTTTTCTAATTTGTCACAGTCCTATTGTTTGTATTAAAACAGCTTCAAAATATGTGTTTACTGCATTAGTAATAATCTGATGATGTAAAATGGCTTTTGCATGTTCTCATGCAATTCTTCATCAATCCTGTGTTTCATCATCTCGTGTCTCCTTTTTCCGGGCCACATATTAGATTTAACTTTTTGTAAGGCTGATTATACTGCTACTTTTGACCGTACATGGCTCATTTTCAGTGGACTGGAAAAACTTTTACTAAGGCTGTTACTCATTGCATCTAATCAAATGATAAAAGTGGAATGAACAAGTTGCCTCTGTTGAAACTGGTTTTTTAGGAACTGGTCAGTTTTACATTCTATAATCCATTTTCTAATCATTATTTTTTTTTTGCTTGTGATGAACAACATAGGTACTCAGGAGGAAGCTGCCGAGGCATATGACATTGCTGCTATAAAATTTCGCGGTGTAAATGCTGTGACCAACTTTGATATATCAAGATATGATGTGGAGAGAATCATGGCCAGCAACACTCTTCCCACCGGCGAACACGCCCGGCGAAACAAAGACAGGGAGCCTCAAAGCAATGAGGTCCTGCTGGAATACCCAAATGCAGCTGCAGCTAATAACCAGAGGATTGATCATCAGGAATGTGTTGTACAACAGCAAGCAAATCATCAGAACAACAACAATGTGAACTTTTCAGATTGGAAAATGGCTATCTATCATCATCACCAACAGCAGTCAGCCTCTCATCAACAAGAAGAACAACAAAATCTTGCTTCCTTGGAATCATTCAATCAGAAGATGCTCAACAATGTTGGACATTATCGAAACTGGCCATACGATATTGTTGGAGTCGAAACTTCGGCTAACAGCTCTCCAAATGTAGATGAAACTGTAGCAAAGTTAGGAGCCCATCTCTCAAATTCATCTTCTTTGGTTACTAGTCTGAACAGCTCAAGAGAAGCTAGCCCTGATAAATCTGGTGGTGCATCTTTGCTCTTTGCAAAACCTAATCATCCTAACACTACTAAGTATATCAGTCCAACTTCAAATGTTGTTTCCTGGATTCCATCTGCAGAGCTAAAGCCAACTCCAATCTCCATGGCTCATCTGCCTGTATTTGCTGCTTGGGCAGCTGACATGTGAGACTGTCTTAAAGTCTGGTGGGGTGTTTTTTTTTTTTGCATGGAAGACAGGAAGTAAGGAAGGAAGAAAGAAGATGGTGATGGTAGGACAATTAGACTTTAATTTTAGGTATTTTCTTTTGTTTTCATATGAAGTTAGTGGGTGACAGTGGAAATGGTTAGATTAATGGAAGATAGATAGATAGACAGGGTTGGGGTCCATGTTATCTGTCTGTAAACAAGTGTTGTTGGGGTAGAAACTTTTTTCAAACTCTATGGCCTTTTTGAAGCATATTGGGATGGGAAGATTTTGCAAAATGGAGGGAATGGTGAAATTTTTAGGCCACTTTTGAAAGCTTTTAAAGAGGAGGATCCATGATGATTAAATTCTGTGAAATGATATTGCCAAATATATATGGAAGTGACCCCATTGTGTATTATTGAGTCTGCTTTATCTTCTGCAATCTTTTTGCGGTTCTCTCTTAAGTACAAGAAACCAGCTCAATGTTTCTCAATAATGCAGAAGAAAAGGGGGTCTTTCTTTGACCAGAAATGTGAAAAACTCTCAATTGCATCTCCTAAAATCTGTTCCTCAATCTACATAACACCATGATTGATGATTTGCCCACAAACTCCCTTTTCTTCCTTTTCTCTTACTGAAGCTTTTTCACAAAGGTAACAGACATTCCTTCTCATTGTTCAAAAAAGGGGTTGTGGAGATTCTTGTGTGTATGAGGACTTAATGGTTTTGCTTTTAGATTATAATGGGTCATCATTAGTTAGAAATTTGTCTGCTGTTTTTCATCTTTTTTGGGAAGAATATTTATTTAAGAGCAAAAAGGTACAACCAGTTCAAATTTATATAGAAATAAGATGATCCGTGAACATATGAAAATACCAAATCGAAAGTTTTCAGAACTTGTAACTGAAGGGATGATATCATACTCCACTGTCCAAAAATTATTATTCAGTTTAGATTTTTATTTTTAGTACAAATTAAATTAAAAGTGAAAATCTAAATTGGACAATAATTTTGGGACTAAGTAAGTATTTATTTATGTATGTAAAACTCTTTTTAGACACCATCTCATTTCATTATATTTTGAACGTTATACTCTTTTCCTTAGTTTAATTCCCTCTAGTTAAAAATAACTCTAGCTTTTTCCCAAATCCCACTCTTTTGCCATATTGTTGGCCCTTAAAAAAGCAAACCAATGTCTGTTGCTAACTTGATGTGGCACTTAAGAACTCATAACAGAAATATTAATGATAAAAAAACTACGAGGATTTACTTTTTTCGGCCACTTCAAATATGGGAAAACATGACTTTTTAGTACTAAATTTTCACTCTTCCTGATTTCGGTTTCGGCCCATAAGAGTTCGACGACGGCGACACATCTATAACGACAAAAGAAGACGAAGCAGAGAGGAATTTCAAAGTGACAACCGAAAACCTCATGCTCCACACACATCTATATAGACAATTGTACGTTACCCTATTCAGAGCGAAGATATCCGAGTCGGTGAAGGTTCTAGCAATGCTTCCTACATTAGATGAGGTGTTAGAGGACGACTAGAAGACTCGGAACGTCGTCTACAAAGAGGTCTCCGAACTCGTCGAGTAATAAGAATAATTACGGCGCACGTGCCTCTATTTTTTTATTATTAAATTCTTTAGTTTTTTACTACCTAGATATTGATGTTTCTTTGGTTATAAATAGTACGGATAATATTTATTACCGTTGCATTAATTCACAAACATATGTCATAATATGTTCTTCATTACGATTTAATTTACACTATTAACTACAAATATAGATGCAATAAGAAATCACGAGATAAAACGGAGTAAACAATTGATAAAATTGACAATTTGGGTTACGATAGAGGACTAGCAGTTTGAAAGGCATAATAGTTTAAACATTCAAAGAATCAGTAAATGTATCAATGCACTACAGAGTTAGACAATTTACTCTAAAATAAGACATATCAATTGACTCAGATCACATGCTCAATTAAACTCATTGTTTTCAACCATTTAGCCCAAAAATAGATAAATTATAGACCACTAATTTCGAAATAGTATTGGCATTACATAATTTTTCAAATCCATGATGTGACAAAGGAGGATATGATGCCGGGTAAGCTGGAAAAAAGGAAAGCTACCAAATAAAGTTAATGTTTTGCACTGTGTTTAGCTAGTTTATGATCAGAACCAGCAGTAAACTTCTTAGTTGTAAGGCAAAGTTTGAAAACAAACAAACAAAAAAAAAAAAGTAATGCAGAATTTGCTCGGTTAAGTCGTAAGTGCGCCATTTATTCATCAAGTATAGTGACTATATTATTTTTAAGTAAATTTATTCAGTGAAATGATATAGTACAGATAAAAAAAAGGTCGTGTGATTTTTATCCAATTCTTTGTTCCAAAAAAATAATCTAATGAGTTTTGAAATATGTATTATCTTTTTAATACAAACTAGATGCTTGCCCCGGGCGAATGCCGGGGTGCTGCCTGTATTTTTAAATTGATTAAATAAAAAATACGAATCATTTTTAAAAGAATAAAAAAAATAGAAGAATAAAAAATCGATTGAAAGGACAGAAAGTGAGTTATTATACGTAAATCTATGCGCAGATTTATAACACTTAATATACAACATTTAACTTATGCTCGGGTTTACATAAATCATAAACCAATATCTACAACAGAAGAATAAAAAAAATCATCCTTAAAAATCAAATTTCTTTCATGACAGCTTATTTTTTCTCTGTTGTAGAAATAAATGAATTGATAATTAATGTCAGATTTTAAGTAATTGATTTTAAGGCCCGGGTGTGAGAGAGGAACGGAATGGAAGATATTTTTTGAAATTGGGGATTGAGAATACATTATTGTGTTTCACTTGATTTAAGGAGATTTCCTTACATTTGATTTTATTAATTAAATATTATTGTTTTAAGATATTAGTATATACCTATAATTAAGAGATTTTTATGTATTTATAATTAAGGGATTTATGTATTTATATATTCCGTTTTTTTCTTATTAGTTAGAGTGCCACTTGTCAAAAATGATTTTGTACTGAAAATGACTTTTGGCGAGAAAATTTTCATTGTAGTGCTTACACATGTCCTTTTTGTTTGCTAATTTTATTAATTAAATATTATTGTTTTAAGATATTAGTATATACCTATAATTAAGAGATTTTTATGTAGTTATAATTAAGGGATTTATATATTTATATATTCCGTTTTTTTCTGATTAGTTAGAGTGCCACTTGTCAAAAATGATTTTGTACTGAAAATGACTTTTGGCGAGAAAATTTTCATTGTAGTGCTTACACATGTCCTTTTTATTTGCTACTTTAATTAAGTACCATAGATAATAAACTCAAAGTATAATTTTTTTGGGGATAGAGGTAGTATATTTTTTCCCCTCATAAATTCTTGCTGCCATTTTAATTAGTCAATAAACGTTAGTACAGTGATTTAGCACCAATAGTTATTGAACAGTAAAATTAGTTAATTTCGCCAAATCAATTTTGTCAGAAACAGTGAAATATATACAAATAGTAAATTCCATAATAAATTTTGAACTCAAAAGGCTCAACCCTCGATGCCGGAATGTTGCACTTTGAGCTAGAATAATAAATAAAGCAAAGCAGACCTATGAATATGTAAAAAATTAGATGCCAATTATACAAACAAAAGGAAGCCGCCGGATACACATTACAGTAGTCATTGGAGTAATGGAGTTAATTATTGTCGATAAGTTTACAGTTACCACCTCAAACGTCGTACTAATTTACGTGTGTTTTTGTCTTAAAATTAAAATCACTATGTGAATTATTGGCAGAGTATTAAGGAATACTGCTAGATTCATTCATTTTTAAAGAAATTTAATCCAAACCATATAAAATAATAACTTCTAGTGCGCATAATATCCGTATACACAATTAGGACGAGAAGGCACAAACCCTATGAGCTGAAAAATAATGTAAAAAATATTATTTACTCCAAGAAAAGAGTTATATGTGTTTAATATAACCGAAGTAACGGTTGAACACGTCATCATCTTCTTAGTATTATTGAACGTAGTAACTAAAATTAACACGTTTATAGTAATAAATAACGAATATGACTTTCTGATAAATGTATGGCAAAGTGGATACAAAAAAACTAATATGATCTAACTTCATCTTTAGAAAACAGAGTAGTCTTATTATCTCAGAAAAATAGTTTACATCGAATTTTGAAATTTATTTAAGATATATATTAAAAATCAAATATGAATTTTTTTTTGGAGACAGAGGGTAACTTACTTTCAATCCAACGATTACAGGAACGATAAAAAGGACGGGAGAGATCAGAGATGAGGAAGTGCTGATAGTTACTAAGGTTAGTAGGAGGAGTAGTACAATCAAATCGACTGGAGACAAAATAGCTGGACGACGGCCCACATTTGAATGGGGGCCCATAGGACGAATCTTCAGGCTTCATTTCCGTCGATACTGATTGATCAGGTCCCCAATGAGAACTGGACAATATGGTTGCAGCTTATTTTCAATTATTACCACAAAAAGACTAGATAAAATTTTACATCATTCAATAATTTTTACCCAAAAATACAGAGCTCGATGAAATGAATGAAGGAGATGGGGACAAAAAAAAAAAAAAGAGAGAGGTGGCGGTTCGAGTATATGTATGTATAGTCCAGGTGAAAACTTATCTTAAAAGTAGGAAGAAGATGAATCTAAAAAATCCCTAACGCATGGATACGTTTAAGCCAGATGTTCCCTAGAAAGGGAACTTGTTTCCTAGCATGAAACTTAACATTATTTGCATATTTCAGTTTTTTTTTTTTTTTGAAAATTTTTATGGTCCCCTTTCCCAAATGTTCAATGTGGTGATAATGATGTGCTTCCCAGCCGATCGACCGCATTCATTTGCTTTGCAATAAGGTCAAATTCCACGTGAATCTTCAGATTGTGTGTTTTTTTTTTTTGGGAATCTTTCGATTTCCTAAGATTGAAGTGTGGCGCATGGTTGGTTATTCTAGCTAGTAGGGGAGGGTAAAATTCTTCCGTAATTGATAAAGGTAAGAGAGGGATAGACGTAAAGGGACAATTTCTACGAGACATGATAAGTTATTATCGTAATGTCTTCCGGAAATCCGATAGTGCACTGTGTTTAATTATATACATTTGTTGTGAGATTTGTATTGTATAGTTTAAATTTTCACTTTAGTTGTAATTTGAATCAAAAGTGAAACCTCATTTTCCGTTTCAAACGTGTCTAATGTACATAGTTTGATAGTCAGTTCTGTCTTTTTAAATGAAACCGAGAAAAAAAATACATATATAATAGAGATGTTTTTTTAAGAAAAAAATTGTGTAATGACTATTAGTTCTTAAACAACCACCAAATAAATTGGACTGATTCCCCGAAAAATTAAATGATCAAAAGTGAACATTAGCGTGCAATTATCTAACTCAAAATAATAACGATTTGAGACATTTCTAACTTGTTGAAGAGAATGACAAAGGCGACAAAAAAAAGAAGTAAAGAAGAGGGAAACAGCAAAAGAGAAAAAAAGAGAAGTCGCCATCTAAAAATCTAGAGCTAAATCTTTAAACATAACTGATACAATACATATATATATATATATATATATATATATATATATATATGATCATCATCTCTTTCCTC